CATAGTATCTTTCTCTCAGACACCAGAGGTTATTTAATGAAAATGGTCAGGTACAGGCTTCCTCCTAACAATTTGTTGGTCATGGAGATGCTAGAGACCCCTAAAATGACCTCCAAAAGAATAGTTCTACTGCTCTTGGTTACCCACAGTAACTTGATAGTAAGACTCTATTACTGAAGACAACACACACCTTGGTCACAGGCACAGCGATATCAAGCGGGAACTGAACTAGAAGCCTCCTCACCACTGGCTAGCTTTCATTGTGCAAGAAGGTGCTGGGAAAAGAAAACATATAAAGTCATATGCAACTGAGAACACTCACTGCAAGCAACAGTAAGGACCTTGCAGGCAGGATGAACCTCTCATGCAACATCAGCATAATCGTGGGTGTAACCAACTGCTTTGTGATTAGAGTGAAGCATTCTTCAGAGTAAAAACCCACATCTGGACTGTAGGCCTAGGCAAGAGTTCATGATAAAGGCAGTCATAGGTCCCAGGAGGAAACTCGCTCCTATTATTTTGCTTAATTGTCATTTGCCAGACTGCATTCTAAATGCTCAGAACTCATCAGAGTAACTTCTCACTACAGGAGATATAACGGTTAATACAGGGACTAGCAAATGGTCCAAGTGCCAAGCAGAAGTAATGGTGAAGTGTTTGACCCTAAATGGGTATATATGTATATACACGGCCCATTCCAAGAATTGGGGGACATTGCAGAAGAGGGGGTGGAAAGAATGTAAATGTCCAAAGATGAGGTAGTGTGCTGCAAAAAGATGCCTTATGGACATGACATGGGTATTAGACTCAAGAACTTACTGCAGCTGTGGTTGTCTCCACAAAACTGACAGAAGTTTGAATTACTCAACATTTCACCATGGATGAAGAGATGCACATGAGGCACCACCCTTCCTTGAGGGACAGAGGGACAGTCAGTTAGTGGTTACTGGGGGAGACAGAGTCACTTTCACCAGAGGGACAGCAGAGGGCACCTCTAAGCTCCAGTGAGGTTGGCAGTTCCTACCCACAAGCAACTGCTGCTCACAACACAGAGGATCCTGTGCATGGTGAAAGGACTTGTGTGCATGCTGTGAGCTCTACTGTTTGCAAATGAAGCTATGAGACCAAGTTGACCAAAGGAGAGAACCGACCTGAATCAAAGTCCACGTGTGGGATAAAGGATGGGGTCAAGAAAGGCTCATGATAGATTGGGTAGATACTCTAATCCAGCTTGTGCAATAGGCCTCACTGATCCATCTTAGAGAAGTGCCATATAAGGAGAATGTAGTAGTTTGAAAGAAAGTGTCCCCCTTAAGTTTCAGTATTTGAACACTTGGTCCTTAGTGGATAGCACTGTTTGGGGTGGTTTAGGTGATGAGCTCTTGTTGGAGGAAATACATCACTTGGGGGGAGACTTGAGATTGAAAAGCCCCACCTACTTCCACTTTGCTCTCTGCTTGGTGATTGTGGTTCACAGCGAGAGCCCTCAGATTCCTGCTCCTGCTGCCGTGCCTCCCTGCCATGATGGACTCTTATCCCGCTGGAACACTGAGCCCAAAGTAAACTTTTTCTTCTGGAAGTTAACCCTGTCATGGTATTTTATCACAGCCACAGAAAAGTAGCTGCTGCAGAGGCTATGGCCCGGGAAAGAAAGGTGGAGAGCAGGCTTGGGGCTCTCCGGTAGCCTTGCTGTCCCCTGGGGGTGCGTATATAGTGGGGAAGGGACACCAACAATCTTTCCTGGAATAAACTGGCAGAAAGGAATGGAGCAGCTAGGCAGCTGGCCTCGGACAGAGCTCCTTAGAAGGCCTAAACAGCAGATATGCAGGATTGCCCTGGGTCCTGACTCTGTGAAGCTCATGCCTGGAGCCCCTTAGTCAAGAAAACAGGCTAGAAATGAATCCAGAGTAGACTGGGGAAGGAGGACAGGGATGTGACAGCTTGAGGTAGAACACCCAAAGACCCCAGTCCATCTTATCCCCAACTCCCTGGCCGTTAGGAAGTAGCTGTACCTCATAACAATACCCCAGACCATCTGCCCTCCAATTCTAGGACCCCAGAGAGGCCCATGCATCCTCATACCAATTTACCAAGGCTAATTTACCAACTCCATGACCCCTGTGAGGTCCCTGAACACTCATATCCAGGACTCAGTCCATTCTATCTCCAACTCTATGACCCCTGGGAGATACCTACACCCTCATACCCAGACACCAGTCCATCTTACTTTCAACTCTCTCAACCCAGTGAGGTCCATGTACCCTCATACCCAGACACAAGCCCATCTCACCCCCAACTCCATGACCCTTGGGAGGTCCCTAGACTCTCATACCCAGACATATCCTGCTGTCACATTCATCATGCTCAGGTGACAACCCCCCCCCAAAAAAAAATCCCCTTGGGTGGCCAAGGGAAACCATGGAGATGATAATGCTTTTCACATAAAGTATAGCTCTGGGTAAGGCTATGGGCCAAAAGCCAGAAAGCCCCAGCCAAGAGTAAGAGCAGTCATGGTGAGGCTGACTGTCCTAGCCAAGACAGTCCTAGCTGAGGAATTCTACAGGGGAGATGAGAAAGTGTGATTTCTGAGGCTCCAATGGAAAGGGGTATCCAGAGATAGGCCACATAGCAACTCTTGGGATGCTGGCCTCAGAGCAGGCGGCTGTGAGGATCCAAGGCAATGCACGGCTGAGGTGAGGGAGCAGCGAAGAGTGTAGACAAGTGTGTTGCAACCCTGGGGGAAAGGTATCCTCACTGTTTGGGAGTCAGGCAACACCTTGAGGTTCTAGGACAGTTCTGGCAGCTGGAGCTGGATGGAACAGCTCAGCCCTAGAAGGAAAGGTATCCCAGATACCTCAAGCTCCCAGGACAGCTCTGACAGCTGGAGCTGCAATGGGACAGCTCAGCTCTGGAGGGAAAGGTACCCTGACTGTTGGGGAGTCACGCTATACCTGATGCAGTGGGGGAGGGTCTCCCCGCAGGATACAGCAGTCCTGCTCCTCTCCTGGAGAGCCGCTACAGCTGAGCTTTGCTCAGCCCCCACTTAAGGGGGCTTCCAGCAGAGCTCTGCTTCTTCTCTGGCCAGAGATGTTGCTTCTTTTGCTTCACTCTGCTAAAGGGGAAACCCCTGCAGAAATGTAGCAATCTCCTCCGGCTTCAAAAAGTTGTTACTTTTTCTGCTCCACCTTGCTCAGCCCCCTAAGGGATGTCTCAGCAAGGTTCTTCTGTTCAGCCCTGCCTTGCTCAGCCCCCAAGGGACATCTCTGCAAGGTTTTTTCTGCTTAGTCCACTAAGGGACGTCTTAGCAAGGTTCTTCTTCTCTGTGCTAGTGAATGAAGATCTTCACACCCAAAACTCTTTTGAGAAAGAGATTTTAATTGGGACGGAGTCCAGGAGAGTGGCGGCCTCTACCAGGGTGGGAAAGAACAGCCCATAACTGAACAGGCAGAGTGGTTTATATAGGATCTCTTGGGGGCAGAGTTTCTTCAGGGAGAAGATTTTCTGTCCAGGAATTGGTTAGTTTTTTCTGCTCAGGGATTGGTTAGTTTTGTGGGTTAGGGGCAGAGATGGCCCTGATCTCAGAGCCAAACTGTTTCTTTCACTGGCCTTTCTTAGCTTTTTGGCTCTAATTCCAAGGCCAGGGCATATTTCTTTCACTGGCTCTGATTCTAGGGATAAAGTGTGTTTCTTTGGCACTGGTTTCAGAGTCAGGGTATGTTTTTTTGGTTCTGGGTTCAGGGATAAAGTGTTTCTTTCTCTGGCTCAGGTCCCAGGTCCAGGGTGTGTTTCTTTCCCTGGTTCTGGGCTCCAGGGTCAGGGTGGGTTTCTTTAGCCAGCCCCTTTTCCCTACAAAGAGGGTGAAAGGAAGTAGAAGAGAAAAGAGAAAGTCTGGCTACTGTCCCAAATTGTCTAAGTGACACTGGGGCTGTTAGGGGCTGTTGCCCAGAAATCACCAGAGTCAGCTGGAGTACTGTGGCTGCTCTGCTTTAACCACCTGGGACCCTAACAGCACCCCAGACATTTGCTGAGCTCTTTCTAAGCCAGGACAGTACCTTCCTTCCAGGATAGTGCCACCTCCCCCTAGCCTGGCACCCTTTTTCAGGAACGGAGTCTCTCCCACAGCTCCTCTCCTTCCTCTGTTGTTGTTCCTGGACCCTGATCTGAAGGAAGTGATGGGACCATCACTTCAGCTGTGCCAACCAATCCCTCCCAGGCCTAGCTGCTTCCCCCACCCTTGGCAGGAGGCCAAGGAGAGGGGGGTTGGGTCAAAGAGGAACTAAGTCAGGGTCACACAGCATAGGAACCAGACCCTGAGCATTTGGCCCCTCCCATGTTTGTGGAAAAACTAGGGAAGGGCAAAGGTGATTCTAAGCCCCACATTTTCAGTTGCCCCTGCCCTTTCAAGGACAGAATATATCAAGTATAATCACTAACTTGGGACTTCAGGTGCCAGGAGACCATGAACTTCTTCGTATGATCACTGGCGTGAAGGAAGCCTTGCAGGGTTTCTTGGTGCAGAACTTGGAGGTCAGAATGCCTGTCCACCAACTGTACACCAGGTCAAATCCCACCTACAAGCCGCCCAGGGTCTTCGTGGGCAGTTTTTTCTCTGAATCTGTTCAACTATTGATTTCCTGAGATCAACAGCCCAGGTAGAAGGACATAGCTGAGGCTGATCTGACGGCAGACTGGAAATGGGGAGGAGAGAAGGCACGTGGGGATGAACCTGAGAGGTGACCTGCACAGATGAGGTCAAGAGGGGAGACTGGAGCTGTTGGAAATAAGGTAACAAGTTAAAGGAATGAGTGGAAATGAAGTATTTTGTTTAATACATAACCCTATAGAAAAGACAAAAAAAGATGACTTGCACACTGACTTGGCGCAAGTCAGTGTTTTTGTTTGTTTCTTTTTATGTGTATGGGTGTCTTTCCTGACTGTATGTCTGTGCACCACATGCCTGCAGTGCCCAGGAAAGCCAGAAGAGGGCTTCCTATCTCCCAGAATTGGAGTTACAGATGGCTGTGAGCCACCATGTGGATGCTTGGAATAGAATCTCTGCAAGAGCAGCAAATGCTCTCAACCTCTGAGCCATCTCTTCAGCCAAGCCTGCAGTTTTTAAAACCTTCTGATCACAAGAAATTCCTGTTCTTTTTTTTTTCTATAGTCTGGAACTTGTACCCCTCTCTCATTTCCTATCTCATTGCCCTAAGACACAAAACCTCCTCCAATGAACCTCTTTCCCCATCCTAGGCTCCATCACACAGAATTTTTCTAACTAGAGTTCTGAGGCAAGGGGGCACCAGATGCCAACTGGGGGAAGGAGACCTAACGCACACCTCTCAGCACACCTCACATTGAAATGGGACATAACAATCCATTTCTTTACAGAACTCTTGGTTTTATTTTATTATCATTATTATCATCTCATTTCACCATATTATTATGTTTTAATCATTCCCATATTTTGGAGAATTCTTATTATACTCAAAGTAAGTGTGTCAAATAGCCATATTCCCCTCAGTTCGTTTTTCCTAGTAAAATCTTTCTTTTATATGAAGGATGGAGGTCACTTATGTAATATCCACTCTTCTGTATCACTTTCATTTAAATTTTGAGAAGAACACTGTTTCAAGCCATGCCTAGCATATGGTAGGACTCACACATGTGACTTCTGAACAGACTAACACACATGTTCTTATTGGCATGACTTATGGCCTTGGACACTTCCATTCATCTTGATGTTTTCTCACATACAGATTGAAGGGCATATCAAGGTTTCGTGACTATTAAGTTAAACCGAGCATGGGCTAAACCAACACTCCCTGTTACATAGCCAGCATGCAGCTCTTGTTTGTCATTGTTTGTGACAGAATAAAGACACAGTCTGGGTCCCTTTGCCACATTTGTCAGGGAACTACTTGTTTGTAAACATCCGTTGTACATTTCCTGGCCCTTGATAATCTTTTACAAAAGGTGTGAGCCTGTGGCTCTGGGTTAGAAACTCCAAAACCCTGGAGTTTTCCATTCTCCAGCTGTGTGATCTTGGATACACAAGCTGGCCTCTCTGAACCTCATAGAGAGGGTCTGCCTGTGAGGGTTGCTGGGTGGCCACCGAATATGTGTTCTGCAGAAGCAGACCCTGACGTGAGAGGTCAAGGACAAGTTTCAACTGTCAGGTGTCTCTTTGGAAGAGAACTCTTGGAGACCAGTAAGGCAGTGGGGAGGTCAGATGGGCCGAGGAGGCAGGAGAGAAAGGCAGCTGAGGAGAGAGGTCGGCACAGAGACAGTCAACACCCAGACGTGGTGGGGAGCTGTGGAAGACAGAGAGCATACACAAGCACCTCAGAACCATCCTGCCCAGAGTGAGGGAGCTGTGGAAGACAGAGAGCATACACAAGCACCTCAGAACCATCCTGCCCAGAGTGAGGGAGCTGTGGAAGACAGAGAGCATACACAAGCACCTCAGAACCATCCTGCCCAGAGTGAGGGAGCTGTGGAAGACAGAGAGCATACACAAGCACCTCAGAACCATCCTGCCCAGAGTGAGGGAGCTGTGGCATTTACCCACACATGCCATCCCTGAGAGCTTCAAAGGTCAGAGTTTCTTTCAAGTATGGTCTTTATTACAAGAGTCAGGCCTAGAGACAGGGGCAGGAGACTCTGACAGCAGCCTCAGTCATGAGCACAGGCTGTGTGGACAGTTTAGTCACTCACTGGTTCCAACACAAACGCACACACATCCCACACATACATCCCTTCCCCATACTCACACACCCACACACACACCCACACATACATCCCTCCCCACACCCACACACATCACACACATACCACACACAAAGCCCACACATACATCCCTTCCTGACACCCACACACACCACATGCACACCACACACACATACACACCACACAAACACACACACACATACACCACATACATATACATGCCACACATAATGCACATACTCAGATACCATTCAAGTATTAGTATTCTCTTTGATTTCATTAATCATTCCTACAATTATCTATTTGAATATTTTGCTGGGATTTTTCTAATTTACTTACACAGAATCTATTGTTTTAGATTTCCATTTTTTAGAATGGTCCTACTGCCTTGATTTTTTATCTTTATGCCAAAACTGAAAGTGTTATTTCATTGGTTGGATTTCCTCTAATTAGCTATATTCTTTCAGTTGCTGAATGAGCAATGATAAAATAAGGCTAGGCTAGAGAAGGTTGAGGTTCACAGTTAATAGCTAAACCCATCAGTTCACATTCTCAAATATGATGGTCTATATCATTCCACGAACAGCATATCAACCATAGAAGCAACCACAATTCCAAGATATTTCCACTATGTAAATATAATGATGAGTTAAAAATAGCCATTCACTCAACTTCAATAACTATTTGGAGCTAAGTAGTGGTGGTGATAACAGTGGTGGTACTTAGTGTATGAAGACACTAATTTCTAAGGCTAGGAGTGGAAAGGATGTCAGCTTCGTATGTGGATCACTATTAAATCTGAAAAAAATGAAGGTGGGGGAAAATGTCTGGAAGGGAGAAGTTGGATCTGTCAGAGTTTAAAGATTACTAAAAGTTACAGTTAAGGCACAAGAAGAGGAGGAGATGGAGAATGTGTTCATTACTCGTCTCCCCTGCTGTGGAAAAATAACTGACAAAGGCAATAAGGGAGGAAGATTTGTTTTTAGATCACAGTTTGAGGACACCGTCCATCGTGACAGGCGGTGGCAGCAGATTGGGGCGGCTGGTCACATATCCACAGCCAGGCAGCAGGCAGAAGAATGTCAGTGCTCAGCTCCACTCACCTTATCCTTTATTCTCTCCTGGCAGATAGGGTGGTCTTCCCACATCAGTTAACATAATCTGCATAATCCCTCACAGCCACGCCCAGAAGATAACTGATCTGCATAATCCCTCAGAGCCGGGAATAGAAATTTGTCTCTGACATGAATTTAGACTCTGTCCGCTTGACTATCAATATAACCACCACAATTCCATTCCTTGTCAATTTGACAATAAAACACACCTCTTTAAAACTGATTCTTGTCCTTACTGGCTCATGGCCATTTCATAATACAAAATGCATTTAATCTAACTTTCAAAAGTTCCTGTGAAACATCAAGAAAACCAACAACCCAGTTGAAAAATAAGGCATGGAACTGAACACAGAGTTCTCAAAAGACAAAAAAACAAATGGCTGAGAGACAAGTGGAATGGCCGCAGAGGTCAGGAAATTAGTAAGAAGCCGTGGAGGCAGAATTCCCAGGGGAGAGGACAGAGCAAAGTGGTATAAAGCACTGACGGGGAATAATGACAGAAGAGTTTAATGGGGTACATGAGGAATATGGGGAGGGATAATTAACATTAAAGACTTTTCAAAAAAATCATTCAGAAACCTACTACTGCAGAAGCTTCCTAAAATACATGCATACACATATATAACAGGTGTTAAAATGGAGTTGTCCTGTGAAGGGGCAACCATGCCTCTATAGACATCCAAGGATAACAAATGGAAAGCCCAGCTCCAGGACTGCGTTGCCTCTTTTGGAGTTGTCGGAGAGTTGACCAGCCACCTTGCAAATAGGATTGTTTCATCACAACTTAGGCAAACAGAGGTTAAACGCTGCTCCAAGGCACTGGCTTTGTTCTCTAGGTGGGGAGAGCTGATCTCATTGTTACCAGTTCCTGTGAGACGGTGCTACTAATAAAGGAAAATTCTTTTCCTATTTTGTTTACTTCCGTGAATGGAATTCTGTGGACTGGGATAAGAAAAAACATTTGGAGTAAGACTAAAGGCCAAGTAAACAAATGTGGCTTCCAAAGGAGGACACTAAACATTTTAAAAATCTTTTTGAGTCCTGTTTTACTGTTTTCCCCCGTTTTTGTTTTTTGTTTTGTTTTGTTTTATGTGGGACAGCAGGGCTTCGCATGTGCTGAGCAAGGGCTGCTCCACTAAGCCACTGAACTAGCGTGTGGTATGCCTGAAAGGCACTCAGGCCTTGCTCCATGCCACAGTGGACTCCCCAACAGACAGAGTAGGAAGGCCCGAGCCGTTGCTGTCCACAGTGCTGAAAGACACCTAACATCATCACCTTCACCTCCTTGGGTTCCTCTCACGAGTGAAAATGGGCACAACAGCACAATGATCAGACACACTACGGAAGAACCAAAACTAGCCCGATATGGTGTTCCAAAGACTGCAGTTTCAGATGGCTGGAAGGCTGAGGCCAAGTTTCCTTTAAGACAGGCCGTTTGAAAACGACCCAGGGCAGCACAGTGCAGCATCACCTCAAAAACAAAGCAAAATGATAGCTTGTTAGATTTAATATGCATAGAAACTTAGAACCCACAGAATCAGAATTCCGAGGTGAGAGAAGATGGGCATATGAGATTAGAATAGGGATCAAGGTGGTGTTAATGAAAGGTTTGCCCTCTGAGAATCTGAGTCTGTTTGGCCCTTCACCCTCACCTGCTCAGTCACCTCCCCTTGGCTCCCTATTGCCCAGAGTAGCGCAGCTTGGCTAGAGAATGAACCTTCACCATAGGAGCCTGTGATTATGCCGAGGAAGTCAGGGATCTTTGGCTCAAATCAACCACCGTGGCCACTGGGTGGATTACTTACAGCCCCTGCTTGCAGGGTGACAGCACAGTTTGTGCTTTGCAATCTACAAAGGCAGACTCATGCCTATCTACCTACTAGGAAGTCCGGGGCAAAGTGGATGGGTCACTGTGCACCGGTGCTCAGCGGCTCCACCCGCAGCCACAGCCCGCCCTCTGCGCGCAGGATCAGTTCCGGCTTCCGGTGCGGCTCCTTGTGGTCCGGCAGGATGCGGAAGCGCAGCAGGGTGAGCGCCAGCGCCACCTTCATCTCGCTCATGGCGAAAGTCTGTCCTATGCAGTTCCTGCGGGAGGGCGGGGTGGGGACTCTGACTGCACCGGGACCCAGACAGGCACTGTCAGAACCAACCTGACCAGGTCTGCTGCAGCAACAGGGCAGCCTGAGGAGCAGCGAGGGATGCTAGTATACCCGGGACTCCACTTACAGTTTAACTTGCCCAGAGCTCAGACTATAAAACAAATCAGCGGGAGGGCGGCACTCTCAGCTTTCGTGGCCACGCTTGGAACTTTCCAAAAGGGCTCTCCAAACCTTGGTTTTTACTCTGATTAGGAGATGGGGGAAGAGGACCTTCTAAACCTCGACCATCTGAACTCCGCCCTTCTTCACCACCAGACCCAGATCCCGCTCCATAATCCTGAGCTCTTTGGCCTCACCTGGGTCCCGCCGAGAAGGGAATAAATGCCAGAGGTGACCTGTCCTGGATGTTCTCTGGATCAAAGCGGAAGGGGTCATAGACCTGAAGAAGAGACCAGCCATGGTGAATGAGCGGCATCTACCAGCACAGCCAGAGACAGAGAGTTGAGTGTGTTGGGATAAGTGAGGTCTGATATCCTGAGGCCACTGGGGGATGAACAAGACTGGGGGCACAGTGCACCTCAGGGTCCCGCCACACGGTTGGGTTGTGATGGGTTCCAAAGATATTGATGATGCAGATGACGCCTGTGAGAAAAGGGACAGGCAGAGTAAGCTTGTGGCCTGATAAATCTTGCTGTGTGCCCAGGATGCTTCTTCCGTGTTCTGTGGCTACCTTTAGGGATGACTCTGCCATCTGGGAGGGAAATGTCCTGGGTGCAGCAGCGGGAAACCATTGTGACCGGGGGATGCAGCCGCAGACTCTCCTTGATGCACATGGTCAGGAAGGGCAGCTGGGCCAGGTCGTCCCTGAGGAACCCATCATATGATTAACCAGGAGTAAAACAGAGGCTGCTAGCCCCTGTGTTGCCCACTTAACCTTTTCTCACAGTGGTAAAATAATCCCAAGAAGATCAAAGGATTAGGGAAGTGCTGGAGGAAATTTAGTCAGGCATCTTTAGAGAAGTTCCCCCCCCCCCCGAGGAAAACAATGTTCACACCTGCTATTTTAAAAACTCAACACATTTATATTAAAATGACTATTTCTTATGGTAAAAAAAAACCCACCAAAATCAAAAAGCAAAGAAGAAAGAAAAAGAATAAACTGATCTACTGTGTTTGCTCTTCTGACTTTCTCCCCATTTACATAAAACCTCTCTTCCCCTCACACATCTTGTTGTTGTTGTTTTTCGAGGCAGGATTTCTCTGCAACAGTCCTGGCTATCTGGAACTCCATTGTAGACCAGGCTGGCCTCAAACGCACTGAGATCAGCCTGCCTCTGCCTCCCAAGCGCTGGGATTAAAGGCGTGCACCACCACCGCCCAGCTTCCCTCACCCATCTTGTCTACCTTCCCCTCCTGTAGATTTCTCTCCTCTCTCCTTGTCTTCCTTCAAGAGTTCTTTCTCCTGTCCTGCCGCCTCCCCATCACCATACCCCTTCTTCCATCTCCCCTTCTCCATTCCTCTTTATAATTTTTCTCTTTCCCATACCCCTCCTGCTCCCAGTCACCCACCCCCATTACTGTCTTCCTCCTCCACCAGCCCATCTCATCCTTGGGCCTACCGCCCTATTGCCCAGTCTCACACAGATATTCAGTGACTTTCCTGATGAAACATATCCTCTCCTCCTACACTTGCTTCTCTTACTCTCTATCCCATGCCTGCTGTGTGTCCGAGGGCTGTCTTGCCCAAAGACTGTTCTCCCACCACACTGAGAGCTCCTGAAAGACTGGTCCCTGGGCTGAGTCCTTAACACAGACTAAGCTGGGCACAAATCAGAAAGCAAAGGCAGTGTGGGAGGGTTTGATGAAGGAAGATTGGATGCATGGATGAGTCACAATGTCAAGACAATATAGACATGATTTTATCCCCAGATGTCCCCTGCTAATCCCTGGGAAGAATAGTAAGGAAGTAATTAGGGAGCAGATGAACAACCTATTGGGAAGGGAAGACATGGGAAAATGTTATTTAGGACAGAGTCGGGGGGGGGGGTGGAAGGGAAGTTCATTTACTCAACACGTGCGAAGTAGCATTATCTGCCCTCACATCATGTTATTTTTGTCAATAATTCTCTTTGAAGTCCACATCTTTCTGTTCCCGTGATGAAGTAGATGCCTCACCCACCAGCCAATAACAGGACAATCATTGAAAGAGTTCCTTGCCCCACCTGGGAAAGAAAACCAGGAGGGGGCACTCAGGAACAGGCCACCAGGACCTGTGCTCACCATTCAATCTCCTCAGACTCTCGGTCCCTCAGCAGCTCCCGCACCTCCTGCCGGCAGCGCTCCTGGTATTCAGGGTGCTTTGCTAGGTTGTACAGGATCCAGGAGAGCCCACTGGCTGTGGTGTCGTGGCCTGAAGAGTGGACAGTTAGACTTGGGTCTCTGGGCTGTTTCAGCACCACTATGCAGACAGCACTCAAGTGGTGAAGTCCTCAGGAGGGATGAGGAAAAGATAGAATATAGGGAATGGAGGGACCCAGATTCCTGAGATGCAGAGACTCCTACCCCTTCTCTGGTCTCACAGTGAGATTCTCACCCCTAAACATGAAGGTGTCAGCCTCAGCTCGGATGTCCTCATCTGACAACTCCTTTCCATCTTCATCCTGGAAACAAGGCAAGGTCTTACATCACACCACTTCTGAAGGCCCCCCTGTTTAACATAAAATAATACCTGGAGATCCTTTTCCAACCAGGTGCACAATACCTCTGTACTCCTGCATTCCTCTTGATCACTGGAGGGACTCTGGCTAGCTTGAGCTTGGCAAGCATGGCTCTGGCAGGCCTTGCCCTTCTTTCCCATTCCCTCTGTCTTGCTAAAAACCATTAGATAACATTCCTAAAGCTAGGCACCAATGTCTATTTCCTTATTTGGCCACTTTGTCCCCCTGAAGCCGACAACCAAGTTCCAGCAATCAAAGTATTAAAGTCCAGCAATCAAAAGCCCCCTTTGGCTCACCTAATTAACAGGCCCAATTAAAATTAAACACCTTATTCTAACACGGAATTTCCCCCTTTTACCTTTATAAACCGCCATTTTCCTATGTGCCATGTCTGTCTACACTCTATCTGGAGGCAGTATTCTTCCCTACTCTGGACTATACCCCTGCCCCCTGCCCTTGTTCCCTTCTCCTGTTCCTTCATCCCCTATCTCCTGTGTTTGTCTCTTATTCCATGACCTCTATCCCTCTGGGGAAAATAAATCTCCTTTGTGCTGAAAACTTGGTCTTAGTGGTCCTGAGCCAATACTTTTCCTTTCAGTCACTGTCACCAGAGTCCCCAACACACAGGCATTGTTCTTGGCTCCCCTGCCTCCTGTTTTTTCCTAGTTGAAGGAATCAAAGAGCCATGGATATTTTCCATTTCTGTATGATGAGTGATTTCTGTGGGAAAGAGTGACTAGCCACCTTGCATGGCAACTTGTCTAGGCAGTTAGAGACTAAGCATTGCTCTAAGTCAGTGGTTCTCAACCCGTGGCAAACCACTGTCTCCAAAAATATTTACATTATGATTCATAACAGTAGCAAAATTACAGTTATGAAGCAGCAACAAAAATAATTTCATGGTTGGGGTCACCACAACATGAGAAGCTGCATCAGACGGTCACAGCATTAGGAAGGTTGAGAACCGCTACTCTAAGTCATTCACTTTGCTCACTAGGTGGGGAGAGTGGATTTCCTTTTTACCAGTTCTCTGCTGCCATCCGCTTTGTCGCCAAAGGTTGCAACTTCGGGACTGAAAGGTTTAGACTGACAGAGAAACAGGGCAAGATGACGATGCCACACTGTGTGTGGTCAATAAGTAAGCTTCCCCTTCTCAATTAGTCTTTTTCAAATGTTGGAAGCCATCAGGTTTACAAACCTATAAAATTTACCATAGTACTTGATTAAAGTTGTTCATATTCAACAACAAAGTCCCCTCTTTATTTGAGAAAGATTGAGAGAAATGTGGGGTGATTTATGTGAATGAAAATGTCATAGCCCGGCGGTGGTGGCACACGCCTTTAATCCCAGCACTTGGGAGGCAGAGGTAGGCGGATTTCTGTGAGTTCCGTGCCAGCCTGGTCTACAAAGAGAGTTCCAAAACAGCCAGAACTACACAGAGAAACCCTGTCTCAAAAGAAAAATGTCACAATGAAATGGGTTATTTTATAGCTAAAAATTAATCTTAATACTCCTTGCTTGCTCTCCTGCCCCTTTCCTATCATCTCTTTACCTTTCATTTACTTTCCCTCTCCTATTCCCCTCTTTCCTCTCTCTCTCATTGTTCATCCTATTGCCCTCTCTTAAACAAAGAAAACATAGATGTGCTAGCTGCCCTATAGCCCTCCATGATTCATAATATGTGGGTCTTTCTCCTGTTGTGGTTTAAATGAGAATGGTACTACAGGCTCATATTTGCATACTTAGTCCCCAGTTAATGAGCTGTTTGGGAAGGATTAGGTGGTGTGGCCTTGTTAGAGGAGGTGTGGTCTGTTGAAAGAAGTGTGTCACAGGTGGGCCTTGGAGTTTCTCTCTGCCTGCTGCCTGTGGATCAGGATGTAAAGCTCTCAGCTACTGCTCCAACCTGTCTTCTTCCCACTGTGATAATCATGGACCAACACTCTGAAACTGTTAGCAAGCCCCCAGTTAAATGCTTTCTTTTACAAGAGTTGCTTTGGTCATGGTGTCTCTTCATAGCAATAGAACAGTAACTAAGATAATGCTTCACATTCAGGTAAAATAATCAGATCACCTAGGAAAGGAAGATCTGGGAATAGGGAGTGATTGCTACCTGCAGAGCATGACTGCTATAATATGTGAGCTGCACTGATCATGAAGTTATGTGCAGCTCTCAACAAAGATATAGACCCAAATGCAGATACTAACTTAACAAGTGTACTGGCTGGTTTCGTGTGTCAACTTGACACAAGCTAGAGCCATCAGAGAGAAAGGAGCCTCAGTTGAGGAAATGCCTCAGTAAGATCTCGCTCTAAGGCATTTTCTCAGTTAATATCAACGAGACAGGGCCCAGTCCATCATAGAAGGTGCCATCCCGAGGCTGGCAGTCCTGGGTTCTATAAAAAAGCAGGCTGAGCAAGCCAGGGGAAGCAAACCAGTAAGCAGCACCCTTCCGTGGTCTCTGCATCAGCTCCTGCCTCCAGGTTCTAACCTGCTTGAGTTCCTGCCCTGACTTCCTACAATGATGGACTATGATCTGGAAGTATAAGCTGAATAAACCCTTTCCTCCCCAACTTGCTTTTTGGCCATGGTATTTGGTCTCAGCAACAGAAACCCTAAGACACCAGGGAAGGCCCTTCAGTTCCAGACCTAGAAAGGCTGTCCCCAGTGTTCTCTCTACAGTGTGTTTCTCCCTGACTTGTCCCTGTCCTTTCCTCAGATGCCGTCTACGGCTTCTAGATGTCCTCTCCATCGAGCCCAAGTCATTACTGAAAATGTAAAACATTGAATCATCTCACATTCAATACCAGCGCCCGTTGTTCTTTTAAAATCATAAACCTTTGGGAACAGGGGAGATGGCCCAATGATTAAAAACATCCTCATCCACACGGTGGTTTTAATCATCCATAACTTCAGTTCTAGGGGATTCAATGCTCAGCCACACGGTGGCTTATAATCATCCACAACGTCAGTTCTAGGGGATTCAATGATTAAAAGCATCCTCACCCACATGGTGGCTTTAATCATCATAACTTCAGTTCTAGGGGATTCAATGCTCTCTTCTGGCCTCTGCAGGTACCAAGCACACATGTGGTACACATACATACATTCAAGCAGACATTCAAACACATAAAACAAAAATAATTTTTTTTAGTCATGAGGGGTAGTGCAAACACGTAGTATCAGAAGCTGGGTCAGCCAGACCTTTCACCCAGCCCTGAAGACAAGCCTGGCAACATAGTAAGATGCATCTCAAAAAAGCTACTAAAGCCAAAAGGGCCGACATGAATCTGTAATCCCAGCGCTAAGGAAGCTGAGGCAAGAGGCACATGAGATTGAGGGCAGTCTTGCCTATATAGTGAGACTCTATCCAAAAAAAACAAAACAAAACAAAAACCTCAACTAATTAATGTTTAAAGGACCCATTGCACCTTTAAGAAGCCCACCTTGCTTAGCAGCAGCACATCAATGAAATCCAAAGTCTTGGACTTGGCCTTGGCCTTGATGACATCATCACCACTATGACTGGGCAGAGTGCGACGTCGCTCCTGGATGATGGCATCAGTGAAGTCATGTACCAGGCGGCAGGCCTTATAGAAGCGCATGCCATCAGGTGTGAGGCGGTAGAGCAGGTCCATGTGCAGAAATAGCTGCTCATTTCTTTTTACAACTAGGGCACTGAGCTCCAAGATGGCAGCGATATACTTGCTGGGCTTCCTGTACAAGAAGAACGTGAAGGGAAGCAAAAATGCAGCAGACCTAAAGCCTGAGGTGCATTTCTCTGCAGAGGGTGGGAACTAATTCCCCACAGGATACTGAGTAGCCCAGCTGATCTGGAAAAGATGGCAACACATGATAAGCATGGGCTCTAAACTCTCAATCTCTTCTCTCCCTTTATTCCATTCCATGAGCCTAGGCATTTCTCTAGGCATCCACCACATAGTGTGGACACCAGACCCCTCTCTTTCCTCTCCGACACAGGGTTCAGTCCTGCTCTGCCTGTTCCCTAACATCGTCCACCCAGATCAGAACAAACTAATCTTGCAGTTGGCCTGGGTACATCAACTCCATTTTCTTTTAAAGGGCAGTCACCATCTGCAGAGCTCTGGTCTAGTCACACTCATCATCGGTCTACTATGTCCATTCCTGGCAGAGCGGTTGTTTTAGACACAGCTTGACAGGTCTTTTGGTTGATACATCTATACCCTAGTCAAGGTCATGGAACCCTCAAATGTGTTGCCTAGGTAGATGTGACCATTGAGGGGAGAGGGTTAGAGGACTGAGAAATATCTAAGCAAACATAAAATGGAGTCAGAACAGGATGGTATTATCTTAGTCATTTCAATTATGGGGGTGCCTTTAAAGGGATGTTAAAACCCTGGCATTTTTCTGTCTCTCTTTACTTCTTAGCTGCCTGTGTTTCCTCTAACACATGCTTCCTCCATGATATAATTTTGGGTACATACCCAAAAGCAATGAAATCAAATCATACTGAAACCACGAGGAAAAAAAAAAAAACCTTCTCAATTTGGTAATCTTAGATATTTTGTTACAGAGACAGAGCAATGAAGAGCTTTCATGGTTTCCTAGAAACTACGGCATGAAGTTCCACACTTTCCTTGGCTTTAATGTCTGTATGTTTCAGTTACTGTCTACTCTTTCAGCCTCATCCCAAAATGCCTCATGCCGGATGCCCACGACCTGTGTCATCTGAATCTCTGTTCCCTTTTCTGAACAATTTCACCTCATGGATGGGGCTACTCCACCCCCACCTCCGCCCCTGGGGCTCACTGTCAGCTCTGACCCACTTCCTCCATGGAGTCTCTTCCACTGCTCTGGACAGCCTTGCCTCTTCCACCTCTTGCCTTGATTCTACAGACTGGGTTCCAAGGCCCAGAGTTGAAACTCACTCCTGACAGTTGCTGTCGAAGCTGAAGACACATTTCTGCAAAGTGTCCAAGGTCATGAGGCTGATGTTCTCAAACATGTCCAGACGAGTGCTACCCGCTGAGGCCAGGTGCAACCACTTGGCCTTAGTTAAAAAAGAGAGAGAGAGAGAGAGAGAGAGAGAGAGAGAGAGAGAGAGAGAGAGAGAGAGAGAGAGAGAGAGAATGATGTTGTTGGATCTTGGCTCCCTGAGACTCTGCCCAACCGCCACTACTGTAACGGACACCCTCAAACCAGCCAACCCCAACTGAGTAATTGTGGAAGTTGTGACTACAGCAGATGAAGACCCAAGACTGGCTCAGAAGTCCTGAATTCAAGTCCAAGCTCTGATTCCTGTGCTCTGTGCTCCCTCAGTCAGTTCATTTCCCTCTCCTGGTTCTTGTCGGACACATCTTTAGTTGATCTGATTTAGTGTCTGCTAAACTGAGAGGAAATCATATGCCACCATGTGCTCAATTCCTGCAGAATACCTTGAACAAGGTCTCTTATATATATGTCCCTCAGGTTTATCATTAAGGAGAAAAAGGTAACCCACGCACCTCACAGGCTTGTGGGATTAAATTGGCCAGCATAGATTATTGGATTGGTTGGATCTTAGCATCAATTCTAGCCTATGATAAGCACTTAATACATGGTACGCCTCTCATTGTCATTGCCATAAATGGATTTCAAAACTATCTCTTTGTTGAGAATGCTAGATTTCCATTGTTCCTTGAGAAATTTTGTCATGATGTTCTTAACTTGGGCTATTTTCAGATGTCATTGCAGAAAACCTATAGATACAGCAATGATTCCCCATGGGTAAAAATAAGACTAAATTCTGCTTGTTATGAAACAGATTCCCAGAGAGTCAGTAACATTTATTATATATAGTAATATTTATTATAGCTTATTATTAAAATTCCATAATACTCAGTCATATTATTATAATATCATTATATTGTATTAGGATGTAAGGCACTCCGATTACAGCCCACTTGATTTGCTCTCATGGAATGTGGCCCCATTGAAGAAAGAATAAAAGCTGGAAATATATACATGTTATTTGCAGTGCGGTGAGTTAAAGTCTGGCTTTTCTATCTAACCCCAGAATCTAGTGTGTTCTAGCAAAAATCCATAACAAGTAAACAAGCTAACAGTTTGCAAGGCAGGAATCATTCTGTGACCATCACCCCAGTTCTTATCTTGGTCAGGTACCACATTCAGTACAGTGTGGTTTTCCAGCAGTGTCCAGTAGACGGTGGAGCCTATTTGACCCCTTTTTGATTTTGTGTTTGACTTATGACTTGACCAACAGAAAGTTGTAAGATGCTAAGGCCACAGTTTCAGGTAAATCTAAACTTCTGGCCCTATCTAGCTTCTCTCACTCCCACGGAACTCTGTGCCACAAGCCTCGGGTGCCTAGTAGGGGAAGAGAATCATGGGAACACCTGTTCCCCCTGCTGAGTCCATCCTAAGTTATCTTGAAGCCTGTATGTTCTGAACATGGCAGAGCTGAGCCAGGTTAGCTGAGCTGCCCACCTGATTCACAGCTGACCATAAAACACCAGGGACCTAGATCCTGTCCAGAAGAAAGTGCCAGACTGCGTCTATGTTCAGTTTTCAGGGCACCAAAAATTAACACCTGAGCACCTACCACATGCAGGGCCACAACTCTATGGTATCATCACAGACAAAAAGCAAACATTTTAATCCTAAATCACATATGAGAAATCAAGCCTTGGGGGGAAACTGCAACAGGCCAGCATGGCCCTTCAGAGCCAGTACTGTGGACTAGATCTGTGTGCAGTCCCATACCACCCCCACCCCCATGCCCACCCCACCCCCACACTCCAGCTGGGAACCTCGGTTCCAGGGACTCACATGCATGATGTTGGTGCTGTCATTGAAAACCTTCACATACGGCTTCAGGATGTTGAAATGGAAGGCGGGTGTCAGCATATGACGGTGGCGGCTCCACTTGTCACCAGCACTCACCAAGAGCCCATCCCCTGAGAGGGTAAACATTGGCAGTGGGCAAGGGTGGCACCTTCCTCTGAGCCCCAAGGCTGTCCCCAATCACCTCACCTGCAGGGACTCACCCAGCCATGGTTTCAGGAAGCTGTAGAAGATGGCATCCTTTGGAGCAACAGCAGCTGACACAAACAAGGATTATCAGGGACCAGGAGAACGCAGGTAATGAACTTGGGGAAATGTGGTTCCCTCATCAGGGATGTGCATGCCCTCCTCAAACCAGCATGACAAGATTCGGGGGAAGGACAGAGGTAGCAGAGAGTAGGGGAGAGGTAAGGGGGAACTAGACCAAGCTTTAGAAGGAGGTAGAACAGAAGTATGCCCTGACATTGCACAATACACCCAAGTATGCATTTATATGGCTCCTACACAGTCTAACATGCCAACACAGCACAACACCCTGGAGGCATTTACACAGACCTAGCACATCCATCCATCCAGCACTTTCTGTCATCTCATGAAATATACATGTGACACAGATGCACATGACCTAACATGTGCTAACATGGCTAAAACACACATAATCTTCTCTGACATGACTATACCTAATGTAACATAAAGTATGACGAATCTCAGTATGTCCCAGAAATTATCTTAAAATGGTCATGTTGGGGTGTAGAGAGACTGCAGACTCGGCAAAGTGTTTACCATTCAAGTATGATGACCTGAGTACTATCCACAGCATCCACATAAAAAGTTGGGTGTGGCAGCATGCACTTTCAATCCCAGTTTTAGGGAGGCAAAATCCAAATGGATCTCTGGCTATTCAACCTAGCCTAATTAGTGAGCCCCAAGGCCTAGTGAGACTCTGTTCCCCAAAACAAGGTGTGTGGTTCATGAAGAATGATGCCCAATGTTGGCCTCTTATCTACACACACACACACACACACACACACACACACACACACACACACACACACACACACGGACACACAAATGCAAGTACACTCTCATAAACACACACATATATCTGTACATAGATTTAAACACTAACAGTCACATTAACCTCTCAGATGTGAACCAGGTGTGATCCAGCTGGGCACCAGACATGGATCTACACTAAGACCTGCCTCACACAAATCTCAAATAACATCTCAGCCATGTCTCAGTGGAACTCTGGATGACAGATATCAGACAACCCTAAACACAGTCAAAATGTTATCAAGAAGGAGAAAAATACAATCCCAAATAACTGCTCGGACAACCACACAGAACCCAACATGTCCACATGTCAGTGGCCCCTTAGGAGTCTCAGATAGGGCCACCTTCACATGATCCCAGGTATGAACCATGTTTAGGGACAACTTATACCAGGTGTTATGGTTTGAATGTGAAATTTCCCCCTGTGTTGTAAGTTTGGCTCCCAGACAGTGGCTCTGTTTTGGAAGATTCTGGAGACTGTAGGATGGGGAACCTAACTGGAGGAACTCGAACAATTACCTGGGGATTGTATCTTTTCATTTTCCCTCCCTCGTCTTCCCTCTCTCTCTCTCCCTTTCTTCTTTCCCCTTCCCAATCTGGACAACATGTTATACATCACCACAAATGACTCTGAAACCACTAGCCAAAAAGCGATTGCTCACTTAAATGGTTTGTGTCACAGTTACCTGGCAGGGCTGCCACAGCCCCACCAGCCTGCCTCAGGTCACCTGACCAACTGGAGACAGCACAGATACCTCAGCAGTGGGCAAGCTGGGGCCAGTGCAGTGCCCACCTGGAGCAGAGCGGAGGGGCTTCACAAAGGCAGGAAGATGCTGGTGTGGCAGCGCACGCCTTTAATCCCAGCACTCGGGAGGCAGAGGCAGGTGGATCTCTATGAGTTTGAGGCCAGCCTGGTCTACAGAGAGAGTTCCAGGACAGCCAGGACTCCACAGAGAAACCCTGTCTCAAACCCCAACCCCCACATGAAGACTACACAAATGGCCACCCGCCAGGGCCCCTCCAGCACGCCTCCCCAACAGTGCACACTAGGGCGGTTGTACAGGTCACCGTCTTCCTGTCTCTGTATTAGAGGAAAGAGGCCACCAGAGAGGTGGATTCTCTGTGCATGAGGCAGATGGAGCCCTGAGAACTCTATCCAACCCTTTCTCATTCTCTGTGCTGAGCTCTGCCTCGCTTCCTCCAGACATCTTTTAAACACAGTAATCCTCAACCCTCAGTTAGAGGGACAGAAAGACACATTCACTCTCAGGATCCCCAACACAGCATTAACCTGGGTTCTCTTCCACCCATTCTCCAGGCCCTCAAGTCCCCTGCCCACAGTCTCGCACACAGTAAGTGGAGTATCTGAGACCTGAGCCTGGGACGGTGCACCAATAGCCTGAATCCTTACCCGTGCATCCCCAGACACTACCACCAGGATCCCCAGACTTTCCAAGACCAAAGAGACGCAGAGTGACTTAAAAAGGAGTTTGTCCTGTGGCCCAGACCTGGAAATTACGATTAATTACAAGCCCAGAGCTCCTGGGAAATCCAGGAGACAGGCAAGCTGCCCCATGGAGATGAATGTCTGAGGCTCATCACTTGGACCTTGATGAAAAGCTTTCATAAAACAGAAAATGGACTACAGGAAGGTAAAACAGACCTAAGGACACAGATTCTTATGTCATTGCTTGAAAGCTGGATCCAGCCATGCTGGAAGACAATCCTCCCAGGTCTTTATAGTCTAGAGATTCCCTTTATTTCCTTCCATCAAACCAGGTGAGTTTTTTTTTTTTTTTTTTTTTTTTTTTTTTTTTTTTTTTTTTTTTTTTTTTTTTTTTTTTGGTTTTTCGAGACAGGGTTTCTCTGTGTAGCTTTGCGCCTGTCCTGGAACTCACTTGGTAGCCCAGGCTGGCCTTGAACTCACAGAGATCCGCCTGGCTCTGCCTCCCGAGTGCTGGGATTAAAGGCGTGCGCCACCACCGCCCGGCGCCAGGTGAGTTTTTACACTCACACTGACAGAGACCTAGGCTTGCGGAGAGAGCCAGGGGCCTGCCTGGCAGATGTTTGAGCCAGGGGCACTACGGGACACTTCCTCCTCTCTCCTCAGCTTTTCCTGTGCCAGTACGGTAATGTCAAAGGGCAGGGTAAGTGGGCCAGGCTGGAGGGAATTTCTTAAGAAAGAGTCTGGGCCTAGTTGGTGAGCAAGGAACATATGATGGGCAAAGCACAGGAAGAGGAAGAAGGGAGAAATAGCAGCTGGATCCCCACGTTAGCATAAGCAGTCTCACTGCTGTGCCGGGGATGGGATGGGCTGCAGTCGTACACAGGCCCTGCACAGCCTGCCTCTACTTAAACATTCCTAGAATCAGGGTAGAGTTGTCTTCATTCCAGATGCCTAGCTCTCTCTCCTGGGCCGTCACTGCTCTGGCCTCTGGTCAAGTCTCCTCCTCCAGGAAGCCTCCCTAGTTGCCCTAGCAGACCTCACTTCTCCATTCTGCCATCACCCATCTTCCTCAGGGTCATTCCTGATCACAGGTGGTTGGTGTGTCCTTGTTATCTCCTCCAAATTGGGTTCCTCTCGGACAGAGCCTTGCTCGTGGTCTCCTGGCATCCCAAGGGTACCAGGGATGCTAGGACAGGGAGGGGAAGTGACGGCAGTGGGGGAAGAAGAGACTGGCATGGGGATGGTGAGCACATGAAAGAGCAGAAAGGCGGAGAGAGACCGCGGGAGCAAAGATGAGGTTACTGCAGGGGCCACACAGAAGCACGGAAGTCAGGACTGGAAGTTCTCAGATTCCCACAGCCACACCACCACCAACTCCTGTGGGTACCTGAGGCGCTGAGGACAGACCGGATGATGTCAGGGTGGCACAAATGGATGAGGGGAACCACTGGACCTAACCAGGTCATGAAGCCCTGGGGGTAGGTGGCCACCAGCTCAGTCATCTCTTTCATGCCTTGTTCCGTGGGAGAGGACTGGAAAAAAAAAAGACACAGGCAATCCCTTCTGAGATGGCTCTTTTCAGGGATCAGAATGGCTGGGCTAAGGGATGCCCACAAAAGAGGATGCAACCTGACTTCTGGCCGTATCCATGATGGTATTTTCAGAACACATTAGCATTCACACTAGTAGACTGACTTCTGGCTGTATCTGTGATGGTGTTTTCAGAACACATTAGTATTCACATTAGTAGACTGGGTCAGAATGACCCACCATCCGCAGTATTAGGAGCATCATCCAACCCACTGAGGATGCAAATGAAACAAGAGACAGAGGAAGGGAAAATTCACTCTTGCTTCCAAAACTGAGACCATCCAGCTTCTCTTGCCCTTAGACATCAAAATTGAGGTCCTTGACCTTTGGACTCCAGCATTTATATCTGACACTCCATTCTACACTTGGCCTTTTTTCTAAGACTACATTGTTACACCACCAGCTTCCTGGTCCTCCAATTTGTGTGTGGCGTTGTGGGATATCTCAATCTCCATTATTACATAAGTCCAAACTCTATGTAACTATCTATCTGTCTGTCTGTCTATCTATCTATCCATCACCTATCTATCTGTCATCTATCTATTTATCTATCTCTCCTTACCTCCTCATTTGCATACCTGTACATGCCATAAGTGTATTGTGTGATTTGTTTATCTACATAACTATGTACAGAATTGTGCTACATAATGATTTTTAATGACTTATTTATTTATTTTATGTGCATTGGTGTTTTGCCTGCATGGAAGTCTGTGTGAGGGTGTCGGATCCCCTAGAACTGGAGTCACAGACAGTTGTGAGCTGTCATGTGGGTGCTTTGGAACTGAACTCAGATCCTGTGGAAGAGTAGCCACTGCTTTTAACCACTGAGCCATCTCTCCAGCCCACATAATGATTTTTTTTTAACCAACAACATACTGTAAATACTGCCTTGGTCACATAAAATTGTAACAGACCTGAAGATTATCTGTGGCTTACAACTTTTGCTACTATTCTTATGTTTAGATACATTTAGCTGAGTAAATACCATGATCTGAAGCTTGTCTGCAGTGTTCTCAACAGTACCGTGATGTACAGGTTTGTATTCCGTAAACAATAAGTGCTCTCTCATAACCTAGATTTGCAGCAGGCTCCTCCATGATGGTTTGACTAAGCACACTCTATAGTGTTAGTAAAACGACAAAATCACCCAGTGATGAATTTTTAAAGTTTGTCCTTGTTGCTAACTGGTGCCGGATGATGTCTGTGTGTGCACACGTATATCTGTGTATGAGTGTGTGTGCACTTGTGTGGGGGTGTGTTTGTGGGTGTTACTGTGTGTGTGTGTGTGTGTGTGTGTGTGTGTGTGTGTGTGTGTGTGTGCACGCCTTGCTTCTGCTTCTCTAGGGGCACTGAGGCACTTCCTCAGCACCTTCAGCAGGTTCCTCCTGAAGCCTTTGGAGGTAACACAGCCTCTGCGATGAACGTGCATCTGGATGTTGCAGGATGGAGGAGGGAATCCCTGCTTCTTCTTGCTCTGTACCTATCAGTCATGTCTCAGTACCAAGCCTGCATCTTACATTCAATAAAGAAGTTATATTGTCACACTGTCTGCCTCAGAGAAGCCCCCTTTGCCTTGAGAAGATTAACTTCTCAGGTGGAATCAATTCCAGCCCCAGCAGAAGCCTCCAGCTCCTGAAAGGGACATGTGTGGGCTACCCTGTGGCCTCAGGGTTTGTCCCCAAGGTTTCTCTCACATGCTCTTCTGCCTGCCTAAGTCTTCAGTTCCAACTATGCAGAAGGGTTCAAACACTGGAGCCTCCAGTGGTGGCACAGCCCCAGCAGACCTCAGGACAGCAGAGGGGACCTCTACATCTCCATGAGAGTGGCAGGTCACCTAATCAGAAACCACTCCCAAAGGGTAGAGGATGCTAATGCATGGTTGCAAGGACTTGTGTGCATGCTGTGAGCTCTGCTAGTTGTAAATGAAGCAACTGAGACCAAGTCAACCAATGGAAAAAATGGACCTATGTCAAAGTCCAAGTGTTGAGTAAAGGTTAGAGTCAGGGAAGGCTCATGGAAGGATGAGTGGACACTCTAATCCAGGTTTTGCAACAGGCCTCAGTGATGCATCTTAGCTGAAAAGAGCAATCTAAGGAAGGTACGATCCTGGAGGTGAGGGATCAAAACAGAACTCTCCTATGACCCAGCTGTGCCCTGAGTATATTGGGGGAGGCATAAAAGTCCCTTCTGGAATAAAGTAGAAACCCAAAGATGGACTAACAGAAGGAAATTGACCAGACAGGAAGCTGACTCTGAATCAGGGCCCTTCAGGAGGCCTGAGCAGCAGACAGTGTATGAATGTGAGGGGTCCTGGCTCTGTTGCAGCCCATGCTGGGAGCCCTTCAGTGTGTACTAGACAGGAAAACAGGCTAGAAATAAATCCAGAGTAGACTAGGGATGGAGAACAGTCGGCACGGACTGTGTGGCAACCATTGCTGCTTGACAAAGTTCCAGCATTTCATCATTGCGGACCGCACTTCTCCAGCACCTTTTTACCTTCCTTTTGAATGATTCTCAATATTAATGCCTTTCCCTTTGGGAAATTTTGTGCAGGCTTTCGTAAATGATAAAAATGTGTACAATGGTAGACTCTCTAAACAAAATATTTCTTTGGAAAAAAAAATCCCCACCACCACAGAACCAGGAATTCCATTGTGCCCTCCTAATTACATCAAGAACAGCAAAGTCAGAGATTTACTAGACACACCTGATCCCAAGGATGAAATACCTACAATCCAGATCCAAGCCTGAGGCCATAAGGGCAAGAGTTCAGTTAATAAATAAAGAGTAATCAGAATGATACAGTATAATGGAGAAAGAGAAGGACATCAGGACCTTCCCTTTGGGGGCATTATGAGGGCAGCAGCCCCATATAGTAAGACTAAGAAATTGTAGTATAGTGACTGGTCCCCAAAAGTCCTTTTCCCAAGGTCAGGCATTTGGATAGGGGTCTCCATTCCCTCAGGGGCTTGAGAAAAGCTCCTGCTTGCTAAAGCACTCATTCTCCTTTTCTCTGGCAAGTGGAGCTTGTGACCCTTTCGTTAACGTGACTGGTATCTATTGTCAAGGTAGATTCCTCAACCACTGATCTCAAGCCACAACCCAGTTCACATGCCCTCTTCTCTCCCATTTAATCCTATGTGCAACTATAGATTATAGAAGGTGCATTCTTCTTTCAATTCAACACTGTTGGCAACCATCCTGGTTCAACCTCGGAGCATGTCTCCCCACACCCCACTGACTCCACACATTCTCTTTGAGACCTGAGTGCCAAGCAGGTCTCTGGCTAACACAGATGTGAGAAAGGCTTGAGACAGAACACACAAAGACCCTAACCCATTCTACCCCCAATTCCCTGATCCATGGGGAATCTCTGCACCCTCAAACCCCAGTTCCTAGCCCACGCCAATCCCTGGCTCTGTCCATGCACCCTCATACCCAGATCCCAGGCCACCCTACTACTAACTCCATGACCACTGGGAGGTCCCTGCACCCTCATACACCCCTGACCCATCCTGTTGCCACACTCACCATGCCCAAGTGACCCCAAAACCAATTCCTCTTGGGTGGCTGAGAGAAACCACGGAGACGATGACACTTTCCATACAAAGTGAAGATCTGGATGAGGCAGTGGGCCAAGAGCCAGGAAGCCCCAACCAAGACAAAGAGAAGCCATGGTGAGGCTGACATGGGCCCCAGTCCCAGCCAGGATAGGTCCAGATGTCGCATCCTACAAGATAGATGACAGAATGTGAGTTCCTGAATCTCAGGGAATCCACAGGGGCATCCTGTAAGGGTGGACGGGATAGAGAGTGCGAACCTGGTGTCAGATCAGGCTGTGGTGGAGACCCACTGCAGGAAAGAGGCAGTGAAACAGGACATGATGATAGGACAAGAGGCAGATGACAAGGGAAGACGGAGAGGGGAGTCTGAACAGTGTCCCAAACTGCAGGAATGACACTAAGATTTGTAGGAGCTGTTACCCAGAAGCCACCGTATTTTCTGGGTCAGCTGGATCACTGAAGCCACCCCGCTCTAGCCATCTGGCTCCCCAACACCACCCTAGACATGGTCAGATCTCTTTCTAACCCAGGACAGCACCCTTCAGGTCCACCTCCCCTAGCCTGGCACCTTCTCTCAGGAGCCGTGTCTCTCCCACAGCTCCTCTCTCTCTTTAGGACCTCTTTGTCTTTGGCTCATTGCCTAAAGGAAATGATGGGAGGCTGGGCTCATCTGTGCCAGCCAATCCTTCCCAGACCTGACTGTTTCCTCCTAGCCTGGGCAGGAGGCCAAGAAAAGTGGGCTGAGTCACCCAACCGCACAGTGGAATTGAGTCAGGGTCACACTGAGCACGGGAACCAGATCTTCAGGACTTGACCCATCCCACATGTGGTGGGAGAAAAGACTTGTGTGAGCAAAGGTGACATGGAGCCCCACCTTTTCACCCCACGCCCCCGCCCTTCCAAGGACAAAGTATATTGTGTTTTTAAAAAATCATTAACTTGGGATTTCAGGTGCCAGGAGACCAGGGCCAGGCGTGTCCCTGAACTTCCCCAGAGCTCCTATGCATGTTGGTCTGGGAGGAAGGCCTGCAGGATTTCTTGGTGCAGAACCGGGAGGCTCCAGAACACCTCTGTCCACCAGCAGCACAGCAGGCAGCAGTCAAGTCCTGCCCCCAAGCAAGGCAGGGTCTTGGTAGCCACAGTTCTTTTAGAAGCTGTCAACCGTTGATTTCCCAGATCAGATTCCAGGGATCAACAGCCCAGCTAGAAGAACCCAGCTAAGGCTGGGCTGGGCTGGAGCTAGGGTGTGGAAGGAGGAGGGGAGGTGTGTGAGAGTGAGGCTAAGAGGGGCCGTCAACAGATGGGGGTCCAGACGGAAAAGCCCAGGGCCCTTCTTGTTCTTATGTAAAGCATAGATAGCATTTAAAATAATATATACTAGGGCTGGAGCGATGGCTCCGTGGGTTCAATTCCCAGTGCTCACATTGTTAGTGACCCGCCCCTTGGAGACCCACCCAGCATCCTGATGCCATCTTACGTTAAAACCCCCTTAAGAGGGAAAAATCCCTCCTCCTCTCTCTCTTCCCTCTTGCCAGAGGTAGCGCTCACCTCCCTCTTTTTCTCTCTCCTTCTCTCTCTTTCTTCCTATCCCTCTCTCCTCCCCCCTTCCTTCCATTCCCTCTACCAGGGCTAATTCTTTTTCAGCCTCAGCTGTTAACTGTCTTGGACTGTTTCAGTCTGAGTCACGTTGCAGAATTTGAAACAAATTATGTTAATTCTTGAGTACACGATCCAACTGTAGGCTGCAACCAGTTAATATCACCCAATAATTTTTTAAAATCATTAAGAGTATGCAGTCGAGCTCTCTTAGTCTGTATCTTCTGCAGCTGAATTCTCAGTTTACTTAATTTACAGCCTAAATAGCTAAGAGAATCTTCTCTTTGTATTTTTTTTTTTCAGGAGAAATTTGTAATCCCCAACAGGGTAAATTTTTCTGTACTACATTAAACATTTTTCTAAGGTATCTGTATCAGAAGCAGCCAAAAAATACCATCCATATAATGATAAATAATAGATTGAGGAAATTGTTTACATACCACTTCCAGTGGTTGATTTACAAATATTGACACAAGACTGGGCTATTTAGCATTCCCTGTGGGAGGACATTCCAATGATATCTCCTTACTGGCTGAGCATTATTATAAGTAGGAATTATAAAGAGCAAAATTTTCTCTATCCTGTTCTTGTAAAGAGATGGTGAAGAAGCAATCCTGTAAATCAATAACTATAAAAGGCCAATTTTTAGGTAATAAAGAAGGTAACAGAATCCCAGACTGTAAGGATCCCATAGGTTGAATTATCTTATTAATAGCTCTTAGGCTAGTTAACAATCACCACTTTACAGACTTCTTTTTTTTTATTACAAATTCAGGATAATTCCAAGGACTAGTAGTTTCCTCTATGTGCTTAGCATCTAACTGTTCTTTTGCAAGTTCTTCAAGTGCCTGCAATTTTTCTTTAGTTAAGGGCCACTGCTCTACCCATACAGGCTTCTTAGTTAGCCATTTTAAAGGCAGAGCAGTTGAGCTATCCGCAGAGGTCCCTACTATAAATCTGGATAGCCAATTCCTGTCCTACCTTGCCTTTGTACAACTTGCTAAGCCTGTGACCTCCCCTTATAATTTTTTCCCCAAGGCCTCTTCCAGCAATATATCCCAATTTAAACATCAATTTACGAACTGTTTCTGAAATTGTAGGAATATTAATTTGAGCTCCCCACTGTTGTAACAAATCTCTTCCTTATAAATTCATGGCTATATCAGGCACATAAGGCTTTAACATTCCTACCTCTCCTTTAGGCCCTATATGTTTAATACACTCTATACTCTGTTTTACTTGAGATAAGGTTCCAATGCCAACAATTTGAGTGGAGACTTCTTGTAGAGGCCAGATGGGATCCTCAGATTCTTGAGAAATTATAGATACATCCAGCACCAGAATCCAATAATCCTTCAATTTCAATCCCATTAAATTTTATTTTTAATTTAGGTTGTTCATCATTGATAACTGTTTGCCAAAACATCTATTTTTCTGTACTTACCAAAAAACTTCCTCTCTGGAGTTCTACATATAGGCATCACTTTGCCTTTAAGATATGGAAGCAATAATAATCGAACAATTCTATCACCAGCTTCTATTTCCATGGTCCCTTTTACATATGCCATCTATAAAAACATTAAATACAGTATCTATAAGATTTTAAGAGATAACTTTAGCTAATACTCTGGAGTATTTTTATAAAATCTTTAAAAAAGGATCCTATTTTAGATCCCAAGTAACACGTTAATGCAAATCACCAATTACTAACAATGTGGACGAAACAATTTACCTGTATTTTATTTACTGGAAAAAAAATTTTGTACCCTCTTTATCAGCAACAGTTATTTTCTATGGGCTTTTATCCTAGCAATCACATTATTTAATAAGCTAACAACCCAATCTGTTTCAGGTGTTACATTTCTATAGATTTAACCAAGAATTTCTAGAAAGCAACTTAAAGAGCAGAGCCAAATTCTCAGTAATGATCAACAGACAAGAGCATACCTAATATATAGTTGAAAATTATGAGTCTTGTTCCTTTAGTTAATCTACCATGGAAATCAAGCATTTATCCAAACGTTTATTAGACAATCAAAAGAAGAGAACATCCTCTATATATTGAATGATTAATATCCCTGGAAATTCAAACAGCATTGACTTAGCATTCCATGTCCTGACTTCAACCGTTCTTTACCGGAAGTTGGGTCGGTTTAAACTTCCTCTTTCTCCCATGAAGGAACTACTAATAATGAGTTATTCCCATCATTAGGGGAAAACAGAAAATATTTCCCATGAAGGGATCTTTAATATTGAGTTATTCCCACTCTGAGGGAAAAATAAAAAAACATTTAAACCAAAGTTAAGCAAACAGACAACAAAATTCTAATCTCTGGGCTTGCTGTTCAGGCTGCAGCAGTGAGGCCCACCTGTTGATTCTGTGTAATTCAGATGCTACAGCTCTGTGCTGGCAGGCAGAAAGAGTTCAGAATATTAGCTGTCCTGAAATTTTTATATCAGAAAGAGCCTGTTCTTCCTCTATTTCTACTGGGAAGAGGCTTTTTTTCTTTCCTTTATTTTTCTTTTACAAGGCCTTATAATCTTTAGGCATAGTTTCAATATTTTCCTACTTTTTAATGGGAAAATGACTTTTTCTTGATTAAAAATTTCTTCCTTTTCTATTGGGAAATTTATTTTTAGTTCCTTTCCTTCCTTCTTCTCTATTGGGAAGATTCCCTTTTTTTATTTTCTTTCTTTTCCTTTTCTCTATTGAGAAAGGTCTTCTTCCTTGATTTATTTCCTGTCTCAGGAGCCATTCTATTTCTATCTTTTAAAATTGTGCAGTTACTACTTTTTTTTTGACAAGCATTTTAGCAACTGTGCATTTTGTTGCTCCTGAGATGGGGAGTTTAAATATCCCGCGACCCTGCCAATCCTGGAGTCCTCTTACCCTGAGAGCACTTCCCTCCAGTTCTTAAGACAGCCAGCTCCTCTGTCCTTCTCCAACAGATCCTTTGTCTTTCTTCAGGCCACGAATGTGGTGTTGGGCACCAGTTGTCGATGTATGTCCCAGCATGGGTGTGTGGGTTCATGCGGATCCATAGAAAGAAGACTCAGAGACATCTTAAGAATGAATTTAGCCATTCATGGCTACAGGGGGGGTCCAGCCTCGAAGGACTGGAGCACTTTCCCTTTGCCTATGGCATTTTTATTTTCTCTCTATTTACAGTTTGGCCAGTTAATTTCCATATGCTCAAAACAACCTGAAAGGAGCTCCCAAAGATACAATGCCAAGTTCAAATTCCTCGATTTCTCAGATACCATGGTTTTCCAGGTTTCCTGAACCAAATTTTGCATAGGCCTTTGTATCCTTAGGAGACTCTCAGACAAGATTCACATAGGGTGGCAAGAGAAACAAAAGGTATCAGTTAAACAAAGGTTGGATTAGGGCTAGGTGCTACTTTCTGGAGCCAGGTCAGGTGTAGCTCAGCGGGAATGCAGGCACAGGGGCAGATTCTGGATTCAGTTGGTGGTTAAACCTCTGATTGGGCAGAAGTGAGGCACAGAAGCCTTGCCAAACAGAGATTGGCACTGGCGTTGCTGCAAGGAAATTGGAAACTTACATACAAG